CCTTGCAGTGCGTACGCATCAGCCTTATGGTTGGACAAATTAATAAGTGTGCCTGTCAACGTTTCAATGGGAAATTCTATCACTTTCCCATGCAAAACAGAAAAAGCTGCTTTTCCGCATCGTTTTAAGTTAATAAGCGACACCTCCACCGTGGTTATCAAGGTGAATAACACTGCCTTTTGTTCATGAACAAAATATGTTTGTATAATTGAAAGCATAGTTAGGAACAGACATGAGAGTTACAGACATGTTAACAGAGTCATAGCAGTTACAGTGACCATGATGACGACGCTGATAAGTAAACATGTTAATAAGTAAAAGAGTTTACACAATTTTTTTAAAATGTCGCTTTGAACCATCGGTCAGAAATTGTAGGTCATATTAATCACAAGGCGAAATGTAAGTAATATAAATTGGGACAGGTCTGATCAGAGCGTAATATGGTGTAGCTATTTGGCAAGCTTATGGCATGGCATTTTCAATCGGTTCGCCTAAAACAAATGAGCAGAACGTTAATGATCTAACTTCAGCATAAACTATGTCAATGAAGTCGCTGAAGCGAGGCCAGACGCGAGTTCGGTTCCTTAGCAAACTGTTGTGCAGAAACTTCAATCTGCTCTTGATTAGAGTTCGAATTTATTCCTTCTCAGAGACCTTTAGTTTTCATATTCCTCACGGGTTTTAGAGCGCCAATAAAACCCGTCGCTCAATTGAAAGTGATTCCTTGCCCATCCGCGAAATGCTAGATCAGTACAACCGACCACTTGATCAGAGTTTGATACTCAACCCGCTGTTCCTGCATTCCTGATTTCCACTACCGTCACCGGTTTCTGTTTGTGTGGGAGCTACCGAGTCTTTGAATCGCGTTCATCTCGTATATCTGCTATTTTTTGAGGTTGCTCAAGACCTCTTCGGTTATGCCTCATGCTAACCGCAAATCTGACCAAGAAAAAGGACTGAATAAAAGAACTGCCTAGCCACAACAGAAATAGACAAAGTCGCTAACGTCAGTTATTATAAGTTGCAAACAAACCTTGACCATCAGCAGTGGGCATGGTGATGTAAAGGGATCAGCTCTGAACACCAGATGCCCGGGTCCCAATCAGCTGAACGGACAATCGTTGGCTTTACTGCCAATTCCCTTCATCAAGGAACTAACCAAAAGTTACTTCCACATAACCAGCCGATAAACTGGTAGTAAGTTGGTGACTTTTGAAAAATAGGGACAACATGGCATTCTGGTCTGTTGGTCCCAGAATTGACGAAGTGTATAGCCACACTGTCTGTCAGACGTGAGCGCCCATTGGGTGTGCAGTTCGCCTTGATCCGTTTGATAGTTGATTTTCCAGTGTACTAACCAGCACAAGCTGAAGTTATTAAGAAAATTAAAATAACAGCTTAGAAATTAAAAAATTTAATTTTTCTCATCCTATTGTGTCAAGGGAGACGCAAAGCTGTACAAACATTCCACCTGGATCAAATTTCTATAGAAAATTCAAAACCGGTTTCAGCGCCGAGGAAATCAAAAAGTGTAAAACGCACACAGAGGCAAAAAATATAACCTTGAAATAACTTTAAATTGAAAACCGTTCTAAAACTTTCATAGAAATACATAACATTGAGGTGCGAAGTGATTTCTCCACAGGAGTTAAAAAAGTTTTAGTAAGTTCAGTCATATGAAGAGTCCTTTCGGCTGTTATGCATTTGTTTGGGCCGCTGTTTGATTACCACAACGTTTCCCCAGAGTCCTTACAAACATGACGCCAGGCAATATCAAACGCCAGGTGATCAAACGTCTGGCCTCAGTAATATCACAGATCAGACGTACAGCAACTGTTACACGGTCATGAAGCCCCTATTATAACACAACACAGCACTTCAATGTGAATGTAAAACTCTCTACCTTCATCTTCATCTTCATCCTCCATCACCTCTTCTCCTTTCCGGTCGCGGAGGAAGGCACGTCAGACAGAGCTTCCAACTTTTCCGATCTTGTGCCAGTGTCTGAGCTTAGGCAAAAGACTACTGCGGTCTCGAACAGACACCTACCTTATATTTGCACCAGGTTAATCTTGGCCGACCCCTGGGCCTTTTGCCGGTCGGATTTGCAAGCAACAGTTGCTTAGCCTTCCTTTCTGGAGGCATTCGCA